CCAGTGTAAGGACAGCTATCAGATACATAATGCTTGAGCTTTGTTTTGTTCTGACTACCCAGCTCTGACCTTCCCAGCTCAGACCACCTTATGCTTCATCTCTTCATGTCCATACCAGAACAGAACTTCTACAAGTGATCAGAGCAATTTAACCAGCTGATGTACAGTAGAAGGCGATCATTAAAATAGTGTTCTAAAAGCAAGTACTGCCCTTAGGGTCAGACTGGGTGGCCTGTGTAAAACAGCGTATTCTTTCTGGTGACCACACATGTAAGATACTGAGCAACTCTGGGGTTGTTATTAGTTGAAAAATTCTATCATCTTTCTCTGAACTCTGAACAGAGTGTGGATTATGAGGCAAATGTTCACTGTATAGTCAGCAAACCAGAAATAATACTACGAATTGATAAGGATTAAAATAGTTGTGTGGATTAAAGGAGATTATAACACAATATAATCTAAATATCTTATATAGCCAGAATTAGTGTTGTGGGTTTTTTGGTGTGAGTTGTCCCCCTGTCTCCCTTCTGCTCCTCTTCTATTCAACCATGGTATTTTAAATCTATCATATTAGAAATTATGTTATAATCAGAGCAGTTTTATTTTCTTTATGCAGTTTTCACAGGAACTCTCTGAAACCATGTGAATACTGTAACTTTGCTTAAGTTAACTCATGTGAAGCTGTGCAAATATTGACTAATTACTCTTAGTAAGTACTAATTTTACAGATGGTTTATGCTATAAACCATACTTTGAGATGAGGTAAGGTAAAGCCAAAGTAGTCCTTGGCCACAATGCTATACTTTTTGTGGATTACGAGTATTTGGTGTCTGCACTTTGCAGAAGCAACAGAAATAAATGCATGTATGAGTAGTATAATCATAGTGCCAGGTGAACAAAGTTACAAATTTTCATGCCATATATTAGAAAATGCTCTTTTTATGCATTAGTATTTGTGAATACATTTAAGTTCCACACTAACTGTTAGTGCCGAACTTACAGGTGTGCAGCCAAATACACTGAAAAATTAATTTAGGATTTCAAGGAAAACAAGTTTTAAAGAGCCAGTCCAAGCATTTGGGATTAGTTTTGCAGAAACATTTTGTCTGGCAAAAGGACACACTGTTTAGAGTTCAAGTCAGCTTGGTGAAATACATTTGTAAAATCTTCTTTGATAATTAATTTTGAATAACTAATGAATTTGCGGAAAGAAATACCGTGTATTCAAGAAGTGGCAACAAAAAAATTGGGCAATATTCATTGCAGCTAATCTGCCCTGCTGCAGCAATTCACCAAATCATGTGAAAGCAGAGGAACGATTAAAAATAGAAAAATGACAATTTGGAACAAATAATCTTCAAATACTTACTGCATGTTGATACAGAGTCCATATAATTGCTGCTATCTTTATCATGGATCCATGGATACTTGGAGTGACTAAATTACTGACAATCTTTGCAGTTCATGAAAGTGTATTACATCTTCCTGAAATCATAGGTGATTAACTAATCCTGCTAATTTTTTTTTGTTGCATGACTTTGCATTTTGTTGCATGACTTTGATTTCTCATCTGTTTTGTTAATGTGTTTTTTGGTGGTTTTTGTGATTTTTTTTTTTTGATTGATGTAGTAGTTGTGAGTCTACATTTTAATTGAGACATTATGTATTGGTGCTGTAGAAGCATTCATGTAAGTATCATTGAGAGTTTCGGTGACCAGCTGTGATCTTTCCAGGCCCTTTCTGGACTGTTGTATGGTTGTGGTTGTATTGATATTGGATATGAAGACTTCTTGAGCCTAAGTGCTGCTTACTGAAATATTTTGAATCCAACTGTGTGGTAGCTGGTCATTGGGCTAAACATTTTTTTCATCCCAGAGAGAGAATAAAGCCTCACAGTAACTACTTTGGGTTTCTGACTACTGCATCTTAGAGCAGACTTAGCTGTGTGGCAGAGGATCAGCATTACAGGCCTACTGATTTCTAGCTTAAATTCAGGCATGTGTATTTCCAGATCACAGAATATTCTGAGTTGGAAGAGACCAACCAACAAGGATCATGAAGGCCAGCTCTTAAATGAATGGCCCATACAGGTATTGGACCCACAGCCTGGTGTTATTATCACCATGCTCTAACTAACTCAGGTTTGCATATACTTTGAAAAGAATTACAGAGTGGTTATGGTTGGAAGGAGCCTTTGGAGATCTTCAGTCCAATGCCCCTGCCAAAGCAGGGTCAGCTAAGAGCAGGCTAGACAGGAATCTGGCCAGTTTTGAATGTCTCCAGAGAGGAAGACTTCACAATATCTTTGGGCAGCCTCTTTCAGTGCTCTGCCAGCCTCAATGTCAAAGAGACTTTTCCTCATATTGAGGTGAAACTTCTTCTGTTTTAGTTTAGGGCCATTGCTCCTTGTCCAGTTGATGGACACCACTGAAAAGAATCTGGCACCATCCTCTTGGCACCCACCTTTCAGATATTTATGTGTTAATGAGATCCTCTCTGTCTTCCCCAGATTAAACAGGCCCAGTTCCTGCAGACTCTCCTCATAAGAGAGATTCTCTAGATCCCAAATTATCTTTGTGACCGTCTGCTGGACCCTCTGCAGTAGCTCCTTGTGTCTCTTTTACTGAGGAGCCCAGAACTGGACACAGCACTCCAGGTGTGGCCTCACCAGGGCTGAGCAGGGACACAACTCCCTCCATGACCTTCTGGTCTTGCTCTTTCTGATGCAGCCCTTGGCCCTCCTGGCCACAGGGGCACTGCCAGCTCATGGATGGCTTGTGATCCAGCAGAATCCCAGGTCCTTCCCCACAGAGCTGCTCTGTAGGAACAGCCCCAGGCTGTGCTGGCACTTGGGGCTGTTCCTGCCCAGGCACAGGACCCTACACCTGCCCTCGTGGAGCTCATTGAGCTTCTCTCTGCCCAGCTCTCCAGCCGAGCAAGGTCCCGCAGAATGGCAGCAGAGCCTTCAGGTGGATCACCACTCCCTCAGTTTAGGGCCATCAGCAAACTTGCTGAGGGTACATTCCATCCCTTCATCTGGCTCATTGATAAACAAGTTGAACAAGACTGGTTCCAGTATTGATTGATCCCAGAGAATGACATTGACTACAGGCCTCCAGGTGGATTCTGGAGTGTCCTTAACAGTTTTTTAAATGCAAATCATTAATTGAATAAATATACATTTGAGGAGCTCTTTAATGTTGCATTATTTATACAGAGTTCGGATAAATAATGATGATCAGATAAATCTGTTATTGCTACTGTTTATAAACTTCAGCATTACTCTCTTTAGAATACATTTTGAAAAAGAAATTGTGTGCATACATTGGAAGATACTGAACTTACTAAATACAGGTAATACAGGATTAGCCTTTGTAAAGGAGATCCTTTGCAAGACAAAACCACAGAAATTTCTCAGGCATCAGTAAATATCTCTTTGTGCTGGTTTTAGGTTTCTCTATCTCAAAATGAATGCCAACATATCAGCTGGAAGCAAATTTTACAGTGTCCTGAAGTTGTTAAATTGTTTAAAATGGAATTTGAGCTATAGTAACATTTGTGGTACTGTTTTATTAAAGTAAGTTAGACATTCAGTGGAGAAATCACATACAAGAAGCAGAGTGCTGCAGCATTGATAATCAAAGCTGTGGAATTGCTTCAAGTGAGAAAAAATGAAGAGAATACACACTTGTTGGACTGCACAGTTGTTATATCATGTGTATGGTGAATGTATTAAGTAGTACTACCTCCACTGAAGATAGGAAAACTTTAGCTGTCTGACAAGGAGGATTGGTTAATCAGAGTTGAAGCTTTCATTCACAACAAAAAGAGAGCATGTATTTGTAATGTTAGATGTGGTGTTAGACTTGAACTTGCAAAACATTGTTTCTGGCTGTATTTCTGCTTCTGATAATGTGTATTTCTTAATTACTGGCCTGTTTTCTCCACCTTTCTAGACTTCATCTTCTCTGTTCCTTTTTTCCATTTGGTTTTTAAGTTGTTGAGTATGTGTTCATGTTCTAGCATATAGTCTATGTCAGTCACATTCAGTTTTCCTTAGGACAGCTAAATTCTGTTCCAGAATATTTTCTGCTATGTTGCCTAATGTAATCCAGGAGTTGGAACCTAGCACGTAAAACAAAGATTTGCATGACATACCAGTAGCATGAACAGAAATCAGTGGTATTTGTGTAGTAGACTTTGTAATAGAGGTTTGGCTCTTACACTGTTATTTTTATTTTGGTCTTGTAAAGGTTCTTTGCTCCAACAATTAGAAAAGCATGCAATCTATGTAAATTAGTCCAGATTAAATAGAAATCAGAATATACTGTTCCTGCATTGAGGCAACTTTTCACTGTGAAATTCAGGAGAGCTTTTAACAACTGAAATACCAACAGAAATGTTTTCTTTCTTCTTTATGAGATATATCTGTCATTTTTCACATGAGAGTAATAAACAGAATTAACTTCTTATAATGACAGATTTATTTGGATGTAGACCAGAATAATTTGTGTGAGACTGAGGAGCTGTATTCTTATTTTGCCTGCAGCCCACCTCCCTCTGTCTCTTCTTCCCCTTTTGACTTAGGTAGTTGGCATTCATACCTGTTTTCAGTTCTTATGCAACCTCCTGAAATCTTATGTTTCTTCACAGATTATGATTAACATTAGAGCAATTGAGAAACTTGATATACATTGTGAGATACTCCAGTGGCATTCTCTTCACTACACTATGAACAGAAGTAGGCAGTTTGTTTTTTTGTTGGGTTTTTTTTTTTTTCTTGCAGTAGCTATATTAAACTAGAGAAGTGGAAATGGTAAACATAATTTAAAGAATTTAGACATACTGTCTTGAGTGTTGAAAGCCTGTATCTAGCTTGCCAAATTTTAAAAATAGGTAAAGAGGGGAATATCTTAATTTGTTGTAAGTTTCTCAAACCTGTAATAGAACATTGTTCCAAATAATTGCATTAAAATGTGCATATCTCTCTTTTTCAGACAAGAGCAGGTCAGTGTTCTGTATCAGAACATACACATAGCAGAACCAAGATTAATCCAGCCATATGAGCATGTCATTAAGAACTTCATCCAAGAGATCAAACTTCAAAGCACAGAGATGGAAACTCTGGCCATAGCGGTAAAAAGGTATAGTGAATTGTGTTTCTAGTTCAGTTCTGCGGTTTCTTTTTTATTCCTCTTCTCATGCTTTTATTGATTAAACTATTGAGAGCTAATGCTAAAATATGCCATGCAAAGTATTTCTGTAAACTGAGTTCTGAAGTTAGTTTGTGTGCATACCCTTGTGCATAAGCACATATAGCAGCTTGCAAATGATTGCCTGTTCATACTTTTGATAAATTCTGGACTAAATTTTTGCAGACTCTGTTGTTAGTTAAATGCCTTAAAACATTTTGACTCCTCTTCCTTGGCTGCAACTTTGAGTTTTATCATACATTCCCACTATACTTTAATTTTAGAAATCATATTTTTGCTTTGTGAGTTTCAAGGACTGTATTTACCTGTTTTAACTACTTGGCACTGTCAGTCTCACATCATAACTGCCAAAACCAAGCAGATTAGCTCAGAACAGAGATCTTGTATGTGTGGGTGATGCAAGTTGCTTTTGAAGTCTCTTCATAGGATAATGAGGGGCACCTTTCATCTTTGTAAATTAATTTTAAAAGTGCAGATGTATTTAATGCTAATCATCAGCTTGCAGCTGTTATTTAAAATCTAATTTGCCAGTATCTTCAAAATAATTTGGGATTTAGGTTCCTAGCCACACCCTTTTCAAGGTCTGGGCAATGTTAAACTGTTTCCCTGGCTTTCTGTCTAATTTGTTTCAGTTGAGGTGGGCAGATAGTTTCTCACTGTGTTTCTTTCAAGCCGGAGGGCAATTCCTAAGAGAATATTTTCTTCTAAATTTTAGGGCTCAGGACAAAGCAGCAGTTCAACTCAGTGAGTTAGAGGAAGAGATGGAACTACGGATACAGGCTGCAGAGCATAAAGTTAAAAAGGAAGTGAGTATTTTATATTTACAGCATTTCATAATTACTGAACTCTCAGTGATCTTAAGCAGGATTGATGGCCACGTGTGGTTTTGATGCTGATGGACTGACTCAAAGCTGTTCTAGGCAGGGCCTGGATGAAAAAATGCTATGCATGAGATGAGAGAATGCATGATCTTAATGCTTTCCTAAAGGTGCTTAGGTGTAATAAACCAAGAAAAAAAAGTCTGTCCCTTTTGTGGAACGGACTGGCCAAGAAGAGTTTCTTTCTGAGACCAGTATTGAAAACAGACTGGAGAAAATTATATTTCAGCACTAAAGAATGTAATCTGGTTCTCCTAGTAAAATAATTTATGTATCATTTAATGCTTTGATTATTTGGTCCTGCTTTGTATGTCTGCTTGGAGTAATGATCTTTCTTTTCTCCATTCTCCTGCAACTACATTTTAGAGACTTGAAAGAGGGGTAACTGTGATAGCAATGTGTGAGGGCCTGGGCCCATCAAACTTAATGGGGAATTCTGTTTTGATCTGCTCAGTTTTATCCGTTGTTTCAACCCACTTGCAGTCTATATGAAAAGGAGTAAAAATCCTCTTCTCTTACCTAGGGAGAGATATATTAGAGCCACATGTGACTAAATAATTCAAAGGAGAAAGACCAGCTCGCTGGTTCGTTTTGAATTGTTACTACCTTCATTTGAGATAGGCCAAACTTTATATGGGCATAACAGTTTGTGAAAGTGTTTTAATGAGGGCATAAGAAATGCTTTAATTAATACTTATAGTATGGGCATAATTATTGCTTGGTTGGACACGTGGTATACTGAACATCTATATGTATTTGCTATGGGTTGTTTTACCAGAGTACTTGCAGAAGCAGAAGTAACAAACTACTGTCTGACAACTTGCTGATTTTAAATAGTTCACACTAATTGATATGTGAAGGTAAATGGTATTATGATAGATTTAGTTCAAGTAGCTTTTTTTTCCTGTACAGGAGAAAACAGTTCTACCACACCATAAAGGCTATTGTGTTCCTAGAAACAAAATATAATGGCATAAAAATCTTAAAGATATCACACCTGCCAAAAAAAAGTGTGATTTGATGTGTTTAACTAATGATAATGCAGCTCTTAGTAGAGATAAATTTTCACTTCCAGAGAAGCTAAGTTGTTAATGTTTAGAAGACAATTACATTTTCTCTGAAAAATTACTCTCCTCAAAAAGTGACAAATCACTGAAATACCGTTTTTCACTGCTTAAAAAAGATGACTGGGAAGTGTGTGGTTGCAGTTATGTACTGGCATTATGCAGAAGTGAATCTTCTGTGTATTATCTACATCTAGTCTGTGTTCTCAATCACTGTTTGCATCTAGCCATAGGTATGAGGGATGGTCTGTTAACTTGTTTTTCACAAGGCTTTTTTAATTTTCACTCTCCAGTGTTCCTTGTAGCTCCTAACTCCACATACCGCACCTACTAAAACGCCCTGAGTGTAAATGTTAAGTTATTTACTTTGTGGGAATGTACTAAGCCATTAATCTTAATGTCTGTAATCAAGGCTATTGTTTGTCAGAGTGATCTCACTCATGCCACCGGGACACCTGCTGCTGCATGAGCCTATCCTGCATTTTGTTTCTTCAAGGGAAGCAAATAGTTACCCAACAATACTTACAAGTCTGTGAAGTTGGCAACAGTAGGGAAATACAACTTAAATTGATTACTTGGATTATTGTTTTAACACGTGAATGCCAGTGTCACCTACAGGAAATCCTAAATTCTAAACAAAATCTATGCCTGCCTCTTCCATGTGAAAACTCAACCTGTTTTGTTGGCTCCACTTCTCACTGCTGCATTCTGACTTCTTGTGTTGTGAAACTGGAGCCCCTGGGAGTGATTGGAGTGAGTGAAACACACCAGTCAGTAGCACACCACATCCTTGCAGGCAGTACTTGGTGCAGTCTCTTAAACACAGGCACACACCCTGCTGTATGCCCTGGTAAAAGATGGCATTGCTTCCATTTCCATCTGCTGACACCATCCTGGTGATGTGGGTGGTATTGAATAGACAGCAGTGAAACCACCTTCTTGTCTCTGTTCCTGGGATGGTACCATTTATCTAAAACTAGAGATGCTGTCATCTGCTTTTACTGACATGGGCCTCTAATGTTCTAACACTTGCAAGCAAAAAAAAATAAATAGAAAGAAGTAAAAAAGTAAGTGACATTGAGAATATTTAGCGCAGGAATCATGAATGAAAAACACTGAATTGACCCATATCTTTACTCTCATGCCATTATTTTATTTCTGTGAGTGTTTTAGAAGTGGACTGCAATTACAGAATCAGAACCTATGGATCTTCAGAAAGGGACAGAATAGAAAGATACATTTGTCTAAGCAAAAAGCATGTGCTTTCCAAACCAATTAATGAATTTTTTGATAAACATTTGAAACCTGTCTCAGCTTCTAATGAGATTGAAAATATTGCAGGAGAAGCAAAAGGCTGAAGAAGCACTAAATGAGCTGAAGCGCCAGTATGACACTGAAGTTGGGGATCTTCAGGTGACAATAAAAAAACTTAAAAAGGTAAGTGAGTTGAAGTCTGGTGAGTTTTTTTAAGTATTTTAAGAGATCTTGACCTCATTAAATGCTCCCCTTAAGATGGATAATCATAATTGTAGGTTTCTAATTTAATTTGTATTAGTAAATGGCAACTGCAGATAATTTTTAGGTTGTGTTGACATTCTGTGCTATTGTATTCATGCTGTGTAATTTATTGAAATACTTAGGAAAGGGAACAGCAATTATTACCTAAATTCTGTAGCTTAACAATTTTCTAGGTCCTTCAGGTTATTAACATTGCAGTTACCTAGTCTTATGTTTGGCCCATTAGAAATAGTCCAAAATATTGCCACTAAGTATTTGTAATTTATAAATAAAGATGGAATTTGCAACACGGATACTGTAATTTACATATAGTGCCTTTTAGTACCCAACTTTATGTATAGTGCCTTTTAGAACTCAATTGCAATCTGAGATAGTAATTTGATTTCTAGTAATAGAGTAAAATGAAATCTCAGATGGGAATGATGTTTTGGAATATTTCGTAATTTGGGTTTTATTTTGACCTTGGTTTTTGTATAAGTTTTATCAGAATTATAGCAAGTAAAGTGTATATATGTTTTGGGTTTTGTATTTAATTGCACTTAGAAGAACATTTGCAGAAATTGAAATTTCTTACAAGAAACATGAGAGCTTCTTGTCCAAGTACTACATAGATGAGGTAGTAATAATTTTTAATTTTTTTTAAGTTAGTGTTTCTCTCTGTTTCTATCTTAACGACAGTCTTCTGTGTCACTAGTTATGAATATTTTATACCGAAAGAGTGAAAAAAACATATCAATTTTCTAGAAAGCCAGTGATTTTTGAAATAATGCTGTCTAATACATTCAGAAAAACTCTTAAGTTTTAAAAACTTTAGTAACTGTAAAACTTTAACAATTATTTATTGTGATTTTCATAAGGGTTTTTTAAAAGCAGAACAACCAAATAAATTAATTGTGAATTTTTTTAATACTTCAAGCTGGAGGAGCAATCCAAGTCTGTCAATCACAGGGAAGATGTAGTTGAACTGAAAAAAAGGATACATGATATGTTGCTGGTAAGACAATGTTATTATTATTAACATATTAATTTAGCCTCAGTTTTAGTGTCTGCAGATTGCTATACTTGTGGAGATTTGGGTTTTGATTTTTGTTGAGTTTTTTTGCTTTTTTTTTACATTTAGTAATGTTAATCTAGAAAGTAAACCTTTGAAGTCATGGATAAGTGTATGTGGATCTATTAAATTGAAAAAGAACCTGTTTAAATATATACACATTCTATATAGGACATTTAGAAATGGTTTGAGATCCTGTGGTCCCATTTTTTTTGTAACTGAATGGAAAATAAAAAGTTAAGAGGTTCGCGCGTATTAATTTAATGACTTCTCTGTTGATTTAGCCTTCTTTAATTTTCTTTCCCTCTCTATGCCAAATTTTATAGTATTTCATTTTTGTGTTACTTTTCTTTTTAAAAACTATGGTTTTTATTCTACTATTATAATATATCAACATTTTGTGGAGGTGACTGTGACAGCTAACATCTAATATCTTCCTTTTTTGAAGGAAAATCAGAGACTTAAGAAAGATCTCTTAGAAGCGCAGACAAATATAGCTTTCCTGCAGAGTGAATTAGATACCTTAAAAAGCGAGTATGCAGATCAGTCTTTGAACACTGAGAGGTAAGTTAACCAGAATCTATTCTCTGATGTAATTATTATGTATGGAGTTAGCAACTGTTATTTCTAAGTTTGCCTTAAAGGGTAGGTACATGTTTGATACCGTGTCATCAATGCTGCTCATATTTCTTGTTAGATTTCTGAAAGAGCAAGTTCTGGCTATGATGCAAACTCTCTCAATCTTGCAACAATATCCATTGATTTTAGTGGGACTTTATTTGGAATGAAACAACAGTACAGAATCAGAATTTTTTTTTTCTTCATGGCTTGCACTCACATGAGGACTTGTATAAATTTTAGTTTTGGAAGCCTTCCATGTCTATCTTAACCATTTGTTTTTCTAAAATGAATGGAAGCTACTTCTAGTTACTCTTTTGAAGGAGCATAAAGGGCAGTTTCATTGTGTTGTTATCATCAGATAATACAAATTATATTTGAAGGGAAAAGGAAACCAGTTCCCATGGTTATTTTGTACAACTTTCATTTTCATTCACAGTCTTTGTTGAGTTATAATTGCAGAGATTAATGAAGTCACCAAATTATCTAACTTTGTGTAAAACTGCTCTCAGCATGTTTCAGCATAAATGTAAACTCTGCCAAAGGCAGTATGGTGAAAATGTAAGACTATCCTGTTAAGCATAAGTTTATTTAAGTTTGGTGTTTGTTTTTTGTTTTTCCCCCAGGGATCTAGAAATTATTCGAGAGTATACTGAAGACAGAGATAATCTGGAAAGACAAATTGAAATACTTCAGTAAGTTTTTAGAAATTCAGGGTTTTTATTATCACACTTTGTCCCACCATATTTGAGATAAGTATGCAAAAGATTGGATTGAAATTTGGGAAAGAGTTTCAAGTTAAAATTCTGAAATGGCCTAAATTAGGTGTTGTTCTCAACTGTCATAAATGTTACTGTGGTATTAATTCTGCAGTGGTACTGACCCACTAACACTCTAGTTGTTTTCTTTCCATTTCTTTTTTTAGCCCCACTAACTTTCGTTTCTTTCTATTAAGCTGAATGTGTGATTTGAGTCTGTTCATGTCTGTCCAATAAAAATTATTGCCTGGATCCTTTTTCTATTGGCTTTGCTTCTCCAGTAACTCCCTGTCTTATTGTTGTCTGGAAAGTACTGAGAGTGTGCAGTATTATGCAATAGGTGCACAAGAAGGGTCACAATGAATAGATTTTTTATATCTTTATTTAATATCCTTATTTTAAAAAAAATTCCTTTTTTCAAGGAGATTAATGATATTTGTCTTCAGAATCACCTCAGCAATATTTAAAGGGTAGTCATTTTGTACAGAAATAGCTGGACTAGTTGTTTTATTGTGTGGGTTGTTTGGGTTTTTCTTGGCGCTTTTGTTTTTTTTTTTTTATCACCATTCCTACAGTACCTACCAGAGACCATGCTGTACCAGTGAAAATGGGTTCTGAAGCCTAAAATTCACAGTGATTTGTTTGAGTATCTGTCAGTGTGTTTCCAGTTTCATGTAACTCTTCAGTATTAGCTAAAGAAGAAAAGGGGTTTTTTTAGAAGTATTTTGAAAATTTTTCTTTTGGAGGGTTTTTCATGTTTTCTTGAGTTCTGCAAGTTGAACTGTGTTTCCTTGTTAGATCAGCTAATAGAAAATTACATGACAGCAACGATGGTTTAAGAAGTGCACTGGAAAACAGTTTCAGCAAGTACAACAGATCATTGGTATGTATTTATGATTTTGTTACATTGTCATAAAAGGTGAAAGAATCAGCACAGCACAATTAAACTGGTACCTCACTGGATACTGAGAAAATAGAGGTTTTTTCAGTGGACTCACTGTGGGAATACTCCTATGTAGTTCTGTTAGATTTTACTTACACTTTGTTAAGTACTGGAAGTTTTGTTAGAGCACAGCTGCTTTCCAAGTGCTTTGGAAAATTACTATTTTAAAAAATATTCTGTGATACTTTATGAGGTGAATAAATCAACAGTTTCTCCTGCACTAGAGGGAATATATTTGTGTTGTGTGTGAATATGAATGGCATGGACTACTGATAGAGACCTTAGTCAGACCATTTTGGGCTCTTAGAACTGCATTGGAGTCTCTTGTAGCAAATGTCACTTGAAATCCTCCAAACTAGAGAAAGGAAGGCTTTAAAGTAATAAAAAACCTACTCTACACTGTCATTTTGCTATCCTGTGAAACCTGTTAAAGCTCTTAAAACTAATAATTGGGCATCATGAGGAAAGCATATAGCTTTTTTAGAAGGATGGGATCAGAATAATGGGCCCACAAAGACAATACTGGAGAGGAAGGAGGAAAAGAGGGGTCAGTTCACTGCCTGTTTGCAGTATTCCATACCAGTGAACATGAGTGCTTTTTGTTGATACAAGCTACCAGAGCGTGTTGCTTTTTGTTGATACAGATGCAACAATGGATACCATTTTCAACTGTCATGCGTGGAAATATAAATGAGCATTTTACATAGAAGACACTGTTTCCAGTGAATAAATGGAGGCACAGCAGAATTTACAAAATACTTTTGTCACATGCTATTAGTTGAGACCTTTCCTTCACGATCTCTCTTAGGAACTAGGAGGTAGCTCTCCTGAAACTAGCTCAGCTAGTGACAGTTCCCCTTTTTTTTCAGTATTTTTTTCAGTAGTCAGCATGCCATGGTCTAAATATCACTTTTGAAAGCTTAGCATTTCATAGTCTTGAGGTCAGAGTCTTCAGGTAGTCAATGAAATCATCCTCTTGGAAATTCTGTTTCCTTTTGTAGTTGAACATGTCTAGTATGTTCAGTATAAAGGCAGAGGTGAAGCCTAAATGCTATAGGTAATAAGCCTTCTGACCCTCAGTCATATATGAAGTATGAGGTAATATATATATATATGTGAAGTATATATATTTTAAAAATATAAATAAACATATTAAATACATCCAATTTGTAATTTTGATGATGCGCACTTTTTTTTCTGAACAAATCTAGATATAATCCTCTGTGTTCATCAAAGTTATAGTGCCTTTACTATCTATCTGTTGCAGCGGTTGGCAAATACCTCACCAGGAAGTACCATTTCTAGAAGCAGTCCTAAATTTAATGGTGAACATTCTCCTTTAAACCTGCGGTATGACAGGTAAGCCTGGCTTGCTTTTGTTAATTTGAGAATGGCTTGTCTTAGAAGACGAGATTAGTGTTAAGTAACAGACAATGGTTCTGTCTGATTTAGAACAAATATGTGACCTTAGCAGATGATCCAAAATATACTAAAGTCAATAGGAATCTTCTCAATGACTTCAGAAAGCTCAGAATAACCCTCTTCAGTAGAAGCCATAAACTTATGGAGACATCAGACAGCTTCTTGTCTGATCTTGGCCTCTTTTGATTCTAGTTTGAGTCTCAGCCTCTTTGTCTCCGAGAAACTGTAAAACTCTTCTGAGGACCTTTGTTAGCCTTTCTCAGTACTTGAGAAATAAAACATTTTTGGTTTTGTATGCCTTTTTTCCCCATATAATAATTAGTACAAATATGGGCCTGATTCTTCAAATCACCTTATCTCACACTGACATGCAAGAGTAGTGGTTGCCCTTGAATATTTATGGGATAAGAGTACAAAACCACTAAGTTATCTAAATGCAATTAGCTAGTCAGAGGTACTTAGTTTTCTACTTACTAGATAAAGATCACTGAGCAGAACTTCCTCATCATTTCAGAGACTCCCTGAAGACAGTGGGTACTGGAGGCAACCCTGAGTGCTATCAGTCATGTTATGCTTTCACACTTGTTTTTTTAAACAGATCCATCAGCAAAAATGTGTGTCCTTAATCAATTGATGGATTATTTTGTCTTCTTTTTCTTTCAGTGGTACTCCAAACCATGGAGAGATCTCTAATAGAGGTCTTAGTAGTCTGCCAGAAAGAAAAATATCTTGGATAGGAATTAAATTGACTTCACACTTACAATATCCCCATTCATTCAGCAGTGTCCTTCTTATTGTGTTGTCTCCATGTGAGATGTGTTTGCTGGCTATAAAGTTTTGCTTGTCAAAAGCGCTTTCCTGATTCTGAATGCACAAAAACCCAGTTCCCTAATGTTGGACCCTCTGAAAATTTTTAGAGGCATCCACTCTAAGCTACATACTGCATTCAGTGATTTTCTGAGGGAGTAACTAAAACCTCTCTGGAGGCTTGGTTATGTTGTTCTTTTTGAATATTTATTAGTACATGCCACATGGTGCAACCCTTGCATTTCCACAAAAGTGAGAAATACAAGGCACTTTAGAAGAAAGTGTGGTAGGAATATGTTATGTGGTAGGAATAAAGTTTAGTCATAACATGTGTGACTTGATAGTATCAAAAGACAGAAAGAGATGTGAATGTCCCAAAACCTGTTTGTTTTCAGTACTTTGTCTCCTGACATCAGACCAGCATTAAGAGATATTGGTTTGTATACTGACATGATTTAAGCAATCTGTTTTAAAATGTATGTTTTTTTTATTTTTGTCTGTAAGATTCATCTTGGTCTAACTTGTTTTAAGCATATATGAAATTGCCAGCATTGAATTCATAGTTCAGTGCAGTTGAGAAGTGCCTGCTTAAGAACTTTATTTCAGGGAATGCCTGACAAGCTTAACTTTGTTATAGCATGCACTCTTCTTCAGTAATTCAGTGATTTGATATAGGCTAATAGGTGCATGAATACAAAGACCATGTATGCTTTGATATCCTACAGCAAAGATCACATGCATACATGTGATTATTCATTAGCCTGAAGGGGTGTAAATTAGATGATTCTGAATGTTACTGCATAGGAAAATGATGCCACTGTCATCCCCATTTGGCCAGGTGCAGGGAAGAATTTGATTCAGTAACAGCTTCATAATTTGGTGATTTTCCCCCGTGTACTCTCCTGTGTTGTGCCATCACAGGGGAGTCCCTCTGGGAGCCAGCTGTTGTTACAAGGATTGATGCTGACCTTGTCTGGTTTAGCAGGTCTGTGCATCACATCCATTCCCAACAGGGCTAAGCCAGACCCTCTCTGCTCTACTATGACTTGGCGACCTTTACTGCCTCACTTTCGTTGATGCCTGTCCCTGTCTTGCTGAAGGAGCATGATAATGATTGTAGCCATTGTAACCTTTTTTATGATAATGGTTTTCTTAGGGTTCACTCTATTAACCTTCCTTTTTCTGTGTTTTTATTTGCATAAATAAAATCTTGTTTCTGTAATCAATACTGTCATTGCTGCATTAATTAAAATATTTTTATATTTTACAGTATCCAGAAGGAAAAAAAATACTTTTAAAGGAAGGTAAAGGGAAAAGAGAGGAATTCTGTGTAAAAGTTTAGGTTTTGCATAGTGTATCAAACTGTAAGAAAATTTTTCAGTGAATTCTTCCACCACTACTGATCTGCTGAACTTGGCTACTCCATCTTCTGCGTTTGTAGCTGTTTCTAATTGGCATGCACATGCATGCCTCTGTGAACAAATGTATTAATTTAAATGAGATACAGTATGTCAAGGTCGTTTGATGTCTTAGAGCAGGCCAAAATTCACTAAAACATCATATGTATTTTTCTTTTTCTCATGTCTTCATAGTACATCACTTTCTGAGTGTCTTTTAGATAGTCATAATTACTGACACTTGGAAAGTGATCATCAGCAACACAGATTAAATAATTTGATTTGAGCATCCCAAGACATATGATTGAGAAAGAAACTCTTTGTAAAGGCAAGATAGGGATTGGCATATGTCCTAAACATAACATTAGCATTTCTAAGAATTGACTGTTCCAGAAGGGCTCAGATTTTGTTGGGAAGAGCATTTATTATTGGGATTTATAATATGGAATAATTTATTTTTCCCCCTCCAATATTTTCTTATTAGGTCATCTCATTCTTCTTGTGTCGATGAAGATTATGATTCTTTAGCCCTTTGTGACCCGATGCAAAGGATAAACTGTGAAGTTGACAGCATACCTGAGAGTTGTTTTGACAGTGGTTTGTCTACCCTGAGAGATTCAAATGAATATGATTCAGAAGTGGAATATAGGCATCAAAGGATTTTTCAAAGGTCACAGTGTATGCAAGAAGGCTTTGGTGGTGATGCTTCTGATACAGATGTAAGTGCCAGATTTACTTCTTCTCTGAGAAAAGCCTTTGATTGGAGACAAAATTAACTTCCTGTTTATAAAATAAAATGGATCTTTGCCCACAGGCCAATTAAAAGTAAATATTTGGGTCATACATATTTAAATTAATTAGTGAAGATATTTTGAGAATAAATAAGTAGTTATCTTTTTGAATTTACATTTTTTGATAAGTTTTCAGGTAATAATTTCATCTTTTAAGTTTATGCGATTTTTGAAGTTTGTCAAACTGTATGCAGAAAGGAACTTATTTTCTAATGATAAAAAAGGGATAGAAATAAAATAGATTTCTATTCACTTCCTCTCACTATGCTGCAGCAGTGGAGAAAAAAAGCACATGTGAGATAGAATACTGTTAGTTCACACATCGGTTTACAGGCTAAAGTCTTAGAGAATTAAAAAAATCTAAGAAGGTATTACTGTGTCTGTTTTATTGCTGGTAACATCGAAAGAGTTTCTGAGGACTACAAAGTAAAACTAATATCAAGCACAGTGTAATATGTTTTTTTTTTTTTTTAAACCTGTTCATTTAGTAGACATTAATCTCTGTGGAGACTTTGCTATGAATAATATTGATTACAGCTGTGCTCTACTTGATTTAGCTTGAGTATTAATAGCATAGAGAGTAATGTCTTTGGGGAAATTCTTAATATTTGCAAAATAAGCTTTGAAATTAAGTATTGTCCTAATTGTTCACTGTGACTTTGTTATAAGTTGAAATTTTCTTATAGAAATTAGTTTGCTCTGTTAGACTACTGAAAGAATGGATGCCAAACCATAAAAACATTAAAAGACAAAATGTAGATTATACTAAACAGAAATTTATGAGAAGAGAATTGTCACCGTATTTTGATTAGACTTGCACAGCTGTATCTGGTCATTTATCTCTGTTTAATCCAAACTCTTAAAGTGTTTTACTCAGTCTTAGCTGTGCCTTTTCGGAAAAACATACTTTTCTCACCAGAGAACTAACTCATACTTTCAGGTTCCAGAGATCAGAGATGAAGAAGCATACAGTCCTGCTAACAGCACTGCAGTTTTAGACTGGAAGCCCTCACGACCAGTGAGTCGAAGCAGCTCAGTTGCTTCAACGAGGAAATACATATCTGCTCTCACCCCTCAGGTAACCAGTTCTTCAGGGGAAAAATGGAAAAGAATGATACTGAGGGGTAGGTTTTTATGAGTTGTTACAGAGGGATTACTTTTATTTTCAGTCAGATGCAGCTGAATGCTCTCCAAAATACCCCAGTACAGAGAAGGCTTACAAGATTGTTCTTGCTGGAGATGCAGCAGTGGGAAAATCCAGTTTTCTTATGAGACTTTGCAAGAATGAATTTCAAGGCAATACCAGTGCAACTCTAGGTATAGTTGGTGTTCTTCTTAAAATATTGAAATTAACTTCATTGTCATTTTGCAGTGAAGAGGATGAAAAGCTTGTCTTTGTGATTCCTTGCTAGGGATATACACAAAGAGTTTCTTATGCAGGCTGTGAGACCTAATTGAGTACTAAAGCTTAGTAATAACAGCTGTTTGTAGTAGAAGATAGGGTACTGGTCTAATTTGGTTTTTCTTTATAAAGCCTCTTTCTGAATAACACAAAGCACTGGAGAAGGAATGTCTGTGTAAGGAGCTTCCAGTGTGTGGATGAGCTTTTCTGCATTTTTCATTGCTTTCTTGTTTTCTCAACACTTCATTCTTTCTGTAGTATTTCGTACTATCCTTTCATGTCTTTCCTACCATTTTTTGTTGCAATTTCTTCAAAGTGTTATTGAAGCTTTGCTTTAAGTACAGCAGAAGGATTTCTGACTGACTTCTGTATATTAGTGTTCTTGTCAGCTAACAAACTTAATTCTTAAGGATTCCAAAGACTGAATTTTGTCTTCCAATCAAATCATACTTTTATGTTTGCTTTATTGCCTCTTGTCAGGATTTTTGTTCTAATTTATCATTTTGTTCCTTGGTATTTGAAATCAAGTTTTTATGTGTATTTTCACTTCTTCGATAAAACTATTTAGCAAAATAAAGCAGCGAGAGTTCTTGCTTGTTGTTCAGACTTGCAATTTATATCAATTCTTCTCCGAAAATGCAAGTACATTCAGGGGATTATTGCAATTCAGAAGTATGGGCATGACTGACTGAAATCTCACAACCTATTAAAAAATACGAATTTTGGATAAACTGTTATATGTAGCCCCTACCTTTTATTTGTGGTTTCTTTAAGATTATTGATGGGTTATTTTAGACTATAAACATGATTCTTTTCAGGTGTGGATTTTCAAATGAAAAGACTAATTGTTGATGGAGAACCTACAGTGTTACAGCTGTGGGATACGGCTGGGCAGGAGAGGTTAGTGATATACCCTGCACTTTACCTTATTTGAGTTATTTTGTTTGTAAAAGTCATTTGCCTTTTTTTCATCTAGCTGGAAAAAAACATTAATTGTATGATCCATATGTAAGTATCTGTAAACAGATGCAATTTTTCTCTGCTGAGACCTCAAGACAGTTGGAATGCTTATGTGTTATCTTTGATGATGCTTGAGGTGTCAAGAGAAATAGTTGAGGTTCACTGCAGGATTAATTAACTAAATCTGTGGGTCCCTCCTTGGCAATACTACATGGTGGAGCAGATGCATATGGTTTCTTCTGTTTTTAGTCTTTAGCTTTTTTTGTTTTTATTACATCTGTATTTTTAAACACTTTTTCTTAGAGATTCCCTTCCTTTCCTCCCCATCTCCTATTCTTTCCATGAAAATCGTGGTCCTGATTTGCATTGTATTTAGTATATAAAAACTTCTTTCCAAAGAATTTGGAATTTTGCTAAAATTATCTTTGTATATTGCTGAGTTTATATCCATGATTCTTCAAAATATTGTGTAAAGTTTCTTCAAAATCCTATGACATCTTTACTTGAGAGCCATTACTTATTTACCAACACCTTTTAGGGCTTTTTAAGAGGTTAATCTAGTGCTGTGGAAGTCAGTTTAAGATGTTCATTGACCAAGATTTGTGTTGGCTGTATGTATGTAGGAATCCAATCAGCGTTCTTCTCGTGTAATGAATTTGTGAAGAATATTTTAATACTTGTTGTAAATACCTATTTACTATACTTGGTTGAGGAGATTGTATATTGAAAGATTGTAGATTGAAAGTTCATGACAAAGATGGCTGTAATTGATCATGAAGTCCTCAAATAATTTTATTGGATTTCTATCTTTTTCAAAGAAGTAAAGTGAGCAATCAATTTAGGAAGTTACGTATAGGTCAATCATTGAATCATAGAACCATTAAGGTTGGAAAAAACCTAATATCTTAGTGATATTAAACTGAACTATTATTTGATAATGTGGCCTTATGCAAATATTTTCTTTTTTTCTGAAAGATTTAGAAGTATTGCTAAATCATACTTCAGAAGAGCAGATGGTGTCTTACTGCTATATGATGTAACATGTGAAAAAAGCTTTATTAATGTGAGAGAATGGGTGGATATGATTGAGGTAAGACCCTTACATATGTTAGAACTTAGAAACTATGTTTCACTACATTATTGGGTTTTTTTATTTATAAAATTATATTAGATGTAAATTGTAATTATCCAGACTGGAGGCTGTCATAGAAATAAAAGCTACGTAGAAGTCTGAAATGTATCCTGATATACTCAGTTAGAATTCAATCTGATACATCTTTGTCTGTTAAAGGATGTTGTGCAATGACACTCTTCCCATTCACTTCCTTTTTAAAATGAATGTGACAGCATATTTCAGATACCTTCTTCTGGATGGCTTGAATAGTCCTTGGAGTCTTTGTATTTTAAACCAATATATTAGATATATAAAATAGCTATAGCTTCAGTGAAATTTTCAGGAATTCTTTCTATTTGTGCTTCTTGGTTTTTTATTTGAATATGAATTTGCATGTAGTGCAAGGGGTTTTCCTCTTCTGCTGCGGATAGGAAAGGAAATTGATGTGACATGATGATGTTGGCCATTTCTTTGTATTGTGAATGTTCTAGCAATAACAGGATGCAATTCCTTACAGGATGCGACTCATGAGAATATTCCAATTATGATGGTCGGAAACAAGGCAGATCTCCGTCAAGATATTACAGAACAAGGGCAAAAGTGTGTGCCTATAAACTATGGAGAAAAGCTGGCTATGGTAAGGTCCAAGTGCACCTCATTAGTATAAAATGGTCTTAGGAATTTTTATCTGAAAACCATGTGAGAAACTAGTAAACAAAGGTAATTTTATGCTCATTTGTCCAAGTCAAGTAATGAGGATTCATGGACACTTAGCATTAAACTATTGTGTTTTGATGGTGTTTGCTGGGTTAAATCACATCTCAGTGTCTGCTAAGCTGAAGTTCATTATTGGCTCTGAAAGACTTCTCAGTCTTTCTCATAAAAAGGTGGATGGACAGACGACTGAGTTTTTCTGCTGCCAAATAGAGGTTGTTCAATAGTTCAAATATGAGGCACACTATTGACTGATTTGTGTCTGTCCAGATTTTTTGTGGAGTGTTTTCATCTTCAAGAGACTCTTGTATTCGTGCCCTGTGTGCAGAAAGAAAAGAAAAATTCTCTGCTGTAAATGGAAGTGTGAACAAGTTTTTTTTGCATGTATTTATGTGGGGGAAAGCAATGCACAAATCCTGTATTTTGTAGAATAGGAGGAGTCTTAAGGGTCTTGAATGGATGAGTGCTTGCACAAGTGATTGATTATACTGGGATAGATACCATGTCTGTTACCTGTGGAATGGTAACCTGTCCTGGCCACTTTCTATTTTATAGTCTTGTAGACAAGAAGATTGAGTTTGAGCATTAAGTTTATAATATGGCTTTTTTTCAGTTTATTAATTCAGAATATAACAATTATAAACCAGAAGTAATTAAAAAACAATTACTGTTTTATTTCACAATACTAAAGAGAATGTGTTCGACAATGAAGTACACTAGCAGAAATCGTGTTCATTTAAATGTACTGTCATTCTTTGTGTTATTCAGGAAACAATTTGTAATTAAATGTACCCATTCACATGGGAGTCATCTCAGATCAGTTAGCTTAACATTTTATTTTTACTCACAGACTTACAATGCACTATTCTGTGAAACAAGTGCTAAAGATGGATCTAATATTGTAGAAGCAGTTCTTCATCTTGCTCGGTAAGTAACTATGTTTTATTTTCACCTAAACGCATCTGAGTATATTTTATGAAGAGGACATTTTATGTGAATGCACATGGAAAGGTACACGTATTGTTTTAAAATTGTACCAATGCTAAAAAAATTTTAAAATAATACTCTGTTAAATCATTATAGATAAATGCAAGATGGGATGTATTCTCAGTTTAATGAAATACCATTTTTGCTTGAAAATGTTACAAAGCTCTCTCAATAATTAATATTTAAGCCAGGACACAGTTACAGAGCCCACAATTTTAAGACCTGTTTGCTGAGTGAATTGTAATTTTAATTGTACATGGATTTGTTTTCTTGATACTTCCATAATTTATTTTGAAATGTAATAATTCTATGTGTAATTATTTTTTCATTCTTTTACACATATTAATATTTATTGTTTTATGACCATTCTGATTGCATATATTTTCTTTGATATCCCCTTCTCTAAATTATTTACAGATAGAAATTCTGTTTATGTACATTTAGCGCCCTGGTATTTCTATAATAGTGTGTAATCCAAATACTACAATTCTACTAACTTTTCAAGCCATTTTTGGTTAAAGTATAATTTTGAAAGACCTGTAAGAAAGAAGTTATGGTTCCAAGAAAGTGTTCTGTAACCCATAATCAATCATATTTGCACAGCTTTTAAGTCTGCATTTCTAAAAGGCATCCAACAGCATGCATTTATTCTATGAAAGTAAATTCGTACTTGAAACTGAAGTTATTTGGTTTTGTACTTAGAGCTATAAACATTCTCTTTTTTATGGTAACATACAGAATCAAATAAAAACTTCTCAAAAGAAAATGGAAGATAAATCAGAACATGGGGAGTTACTAGATAATAAAAAAAATCATATTTTTATCACTATGAATTGAATAGAAATGTCAATATGATTATCAAATTGGAAACTTGTGAGACACGTTAATTCTGTGCTAATTTACAGTGTATTAGCCGTACAATAGATGGTGATGAACTCTGCAGCATATTGTGGTAAAAATAGAAGAATGAACATGAATAGAAATGTGTTAATTGAGTGCAAATTTTTGGTTTTGTTTTTTACAGTGAGGTGCGAAAACGAAGTGATAATCAAGATGATACAAGATCAGTAACCAGCCTGGCTGGGACACCTGTCAAAAAGTCAGCACTCACAAAAAACTGTTGTAATATTTAAATGATAGATAATTTTCCTTAACTAAATATCTTGTATATTTAAAAAAAACCCAAGTTAACAACTAAACCAAAATATTTTAGTAGTGTTTCCCTTTTATTATGGATTTATACATTGTATATTTAGAAGTTACACATAATCTTCAAAATCCAGACTGTACTTTCTACTCATTCAAATTTGTGGAATTGCTTCACCCCATAGTCTCTTTTTTCAGTTTTTTAAAGTAATATTATTCAGTGCAAGGAGCTCAGAATCAATGCTACAGTAGTCACTGCATACAATATTGTAATATATATTATTGTCTCTACATGCATGTTTCTTTATGGCATTTGTATTTCTTATATATAGAACGTAGTAATATCCAATATCACTCACAGGTAAAGAAAAAATTAGAGCTTTAGTGAATATAATCTCTTTTTGATCGAGTCTGCTTATCTAGTTTTTGACAGCCTTAAATATATGTTGATTAAACATTTCTTAAGAAAACTCCAAACTATTAAGGGTTGCCTAGGTCCAAGTAATCCCTCATTTTAGGGGAAGCAGAATGATCTTTATCAGGAGAAGACAGTGGCAGGTGCATGGTATTCTGTTGTAGTTCCTCAAAAGTTGACTAGTTAGAATGTATTTTATTTCGAGTGTTGGGGTTTGATTCAGAAGTGAGAAATAGACTTTATAACTGATCCTACAGAGCTAAGAGGTGAAAAAAGCATTTGTCTGGACTATTACAGTCCAAAATTCCAGAGAGAATGTAACACCTGTGATATGTAGGATCGCCGAAATGAGTTATGATCCAATATCTCTCTGCCTATTTAAGTTAGATCCTTATTGTTACTACAAACTGGTACAAGTTGTAATTTTTCCTTTGCTTTTTCAAATATCTTCTATTCAGTCACTAACTGAAAGATTGTAATAGTATGTAGGAGTCTGATTTAATATATATTTTAATACATTTTTATAAGTTTTAAATCAGTAGGTGAAAGAATTGCTGCACATGCACAAGCATTTGTATAAATTTTTCTGTAAAAGAGAACCCTGGAATGAACAGCAATCACTTTAATGAGAGTTCTTTCAACTGATTTTAGAAAAGTTCTGAGAAACTTACCAGAGGGTGGTAGCTTTAGGTGTCATCATCTCTAAACTGAATTTTGCTTAAAATAGTTCCCGAGAGTTCCATAATGTAGTAAAAATTCATGGGCATTTCTACAGTTAGCGGTCAAAATCCAGTTCTTCTTAACTTTCACTGATTTTGATCAAAATAGGATAGGACCTTTCAGAGCCAGAAAACTGTTGTCTCTTCTGTTTCCATTAATAAAACATCTCCAAGCTGAAGCCTATTAAGTAAATCAAACCTGGGTAAAGTTTTATCAATTGATGGAAAAACCATATGACTAGCAGCTGTTTGCTGCGTTTTATCAGCACTGTATGGCCTGTACTGTGTTATCTCTTGTATAAAACATAGAGATCTGATAAACAGGAAGGTTCATAATTTAGAAATAATAAAAAGGTTTTAACTAGGAAAAGAATTTGTTTTAGGCATCCTTTCAAATATGTAATCAGAGCAGCTAATCCTTGGGTAATTATCAGAAATTTTTTCACCAAGAGAGAGAAATCTAATGCCAGAATGAATAAGACATTTTATTTCACTGTATAATAGTTCAGACCTAGAAGACAAAACATGTTTGGTGAGGGTTTTTTGAAGTACTAGGAGAATCTTCACATGCTACCTAATTCGATGCAGGAGATTTCAGGGTTGTAGTGTCTTCCCACACAGCAGTACCGGATGCCTGCCTCACTGTAGTTCTGAGACGTATCTGAAGCATGTGGCAGAGAATGCAGAACGCTCAAGTGTATCAGGAATATGCCTAATCACATACATATTGTTTACTGTTAACCCTATATTAATAAAGAAATATACAGCTTCAGTTAGCTTCTTTGAGCAGAAAAGCCAAATGTAACTGACTGTTTTGGTGAGGGCCTTTTCTGTGTTGTTTGTGTGAACCCTTCCTTTTGTCCATATGAATGAAATGGAAGGAAAATTAATTTGGGAAGTGTTTGCAGTAGGGAAAAGATAGGAAGGTTATATAGTCCTTGGTTTGTGAAGTGTGAGCCTTCAGCATGTAGGCATTTGCATTTTCTCGGGGTAAGATCAAGATTATAAATTGTTACTTATGTTCCAAAAATGTTTCTCATTCGGTGTTGTTAGCTTGGAGAGCCTGGACTGGGGATCAGTGTTCTAAGTGTGTGTCCTGAGCTACTGTGTGTGACCAGTTCCGTGGTTTTGGCCTCCAGTAAATGAGGTGCAATGTTTGCTTAAGCATTATTGACAGACCTGCATGAGCAAAGTGTTTTGGCTGGACGCAGAGAATCACATAAAGTGATTTGCAGGCAGGATTTCTGGAGGTGGTTTTGTCCAGCCTTCCAAGGACTCAAGCAGAGATGGACTTTGGCTAGTCCTAGATTTGGTTATCTGTGGGGTTGGATAGCCTGCCTGTGAAAATGCTCTAGGACAGAGGTATACTACTATCGTTCTGGGCAAGATGTTCTCATACTTGTCCTCCTTTTCTGTATAAACATTTCCCTTCTTGTCCAACTTCAGTTCCCCAAATGACTACAAATTTCTAACAGTTTTCCCCCCCTATGTAGAATTTGACTATAATCTTGGTGATTTCCCTTTCAGTATCTGTAGCTGTCCCTTGGCCTTCTCTCCACCTGTGTCACAACATCAGGAGTATCTCTTGCAAAATGTCTCTGGGTTTCACATCCCAGAATTAGCAGCGTACGTGCATGTATAATAATTGCTTTCATATCTAATATTTTTATCATACAGAGGGTGCCATGAGAGTATCCATGTTTGTAGAGAGGCTGGTTGAAGGATGTAAGTTCAGGGACTTGCCTCCATACCAGTTTTTCCCTCTCTGCAGGCCGCTGATGTTTTCAGTACTTTTGTTTCTCATTTATTTTAATAACCAAAATCTACCTTATGTTATTTAGTCAAATTATGTAGCCTGCATCAATTTATTAAGTTCTGTAATTTTTTTGTTTCATGTAAAGCAACTTTAATTTGCAACAGTGTTGTTTTCTAAATAAGATTCAGGGTTGAAGGTTGTTAGCTGTTAACAAAGTTTTACCTTGGAGTAAATTTATGATCAACGTCTAGAGGACTGAAAATGCACTATTAAATGGGGATATATCTATAGCTCAGTTGGAACTCATTTTAGAAGTCCTGTCATGGTCAGTTCCATCATATTTTAAATGTTCACATAATACTGTGTTGAATTTATGTTAAAGCAAAAGAACTTGGACTGTTTAAATCTAGAAATTAAAGAATGTATTTATATGTGGAAATAATGAATGCATAATTTTTTCTGTTGTTTCACTTTAAAAGGTTACCTTGTCTTCAGCCTAAAAGGTAAAATAACAAACATCAGCTTTATGCTCTGACATGGTTGCACTATTGTCCTTTGAATGTTTTTATGGTTTTGTTTAGTACATAAGAACTGTTTGTTTAGTCACACAAATTTATTTTTTTAGTCAGTGAAAGTCGGTTCCCTTAAGACATGTATTTATTTGAAAAAGAAAAGTCTTTTATGTTTTTCCTCATGATCTGTAAATAAATTATTTTATTCAGTTGACATGGAAACATTATTTGATCCTGTATTTTTGACCCTTTTAAATTGTAATTTATTACACATTTCTGAGGCAATAATTCCTATGACACACTCAAAAAATGTTTTGATCACGTAAGTTCTTGTAACTACTTTGTGCCTGTTTAGCATATATTACTGGCTTAATAAGACAAACTTCAGCTTCTAAGTTCTGTTATGGCCTTATATATCTTAAGTATTTTTCTGTGTAACTACTTTTGTATTGACTAGAAAAACCTCTGTTAGGAAAAAAAATTACAGTTATAAATCTGTATAAGATGCTAAAATGTAGTTTAAGGAAAATATCTATAGGCCACTCCTTTAAGGAACATCGTTCTGCTGTGTATACATGCAGATCTCCAAATAAAGTAGTAAGTTCTGTGCTAGTGCAGGCAGTCCAAATATATATCCTTTTAAAGAGGTTTTCTATTTTTTCCCCTATCAACTGTTATTCAGCAATGGTAGGGTAGCATTTTAGGTAAAAAATACTACAGTCAACAATCCCCGATTTGTAAACCAAAGAGAATAATACATTCTTGGTACTTCATTATATTATAAAGAAACCTATTTTCAAGATGTTTCTAGTTGTGTTAGAGAATTGTAAAAATGGACTAATATCTCATGTACAGTTCCAGTTGCCTTTACCACTACCTCTACCAGACTTGATATAGTGTGTAATTCTTTAATGCTGTCTGGGCTACTTATGGATTAGAGAAGCTTTTTAGAGTGCCAGTTATTTTATTATTTATCTTCTACTGTATTACTATCAGTCCTAATCCTTTCTTATTGGTCTTCTTGGGACTAGTAATACCAATATTTGTCATTATTAATTTTTTAAAACTATTCCTTATTTTGAGGAAACTTCCTGTAAAAGAAAATGTGACTCAATATGTAAAGTGTTACTGAGTCTGTACAAAGAAGTCCTTTCTCTGCAATTCTCTTCCTTGAGTTACAGCTTCAGATAGCTGGACTAATACAAAATTAATCATGAAGTGGCTGAGTAACAAATAAAACCAAGCTATGGAAGTTTCCCACTGAATGTAAAAGGAAGTATGTAAAATGTGAATCTGTTTTTAAACTAGTATGAGGAAATTGTACCCATTGTGTGTTTATCTCTCAATAAAAGTCTGTATATACTATAAATAATTCTAAATTATGAAAAGGTTTTTAAAATTTTATACAACTAAAACTGGATTTAGTGCAGCTTTGTCTCTCCTTGAAACAACTGATCATTTACTGTAAGTTTCTATATATAGGTTTGAAACTGACACCTTTCCTGTATTAAAAATTACTGAATAATAAAATGTGCTTCAATAGCCATTTTCCTTCAGTGTATTTTCTTATCAGTACATACAGACAGCAGTCCAGCACAACATCTGTTACCTGTCAGCTTAATGTTGTTGTTGTTCACCAACTTCTGCAGCCAGTTGCATGCAAGAGTGATGCAACTAAACACTGGTATCTGGCTGCCTCCAAATTTTTAGCCTCAATGAACAGTCATTGGCTTTGAGCTGAGAGATGTCTCTTACTGTGATTCTCAAATAAATCTTCTGTACTTCTTTACAAAGATGCTGTATTGTACTGTGAAGATGCTGTGCTGTAAATTGGCTGTACTTCTTTACAGAGATGCATTAGCCATGCTGTCCCTAACCACCAAGATGTGATATTGGTCAAGTAAGAAAGAAAAGGAGATAAGTAGCCCAAAATAACAAGCCTCTTGCAAATGTGGTCATGTAAGACTCTTGGCATCAAGCAAAAAATACTTAGGGGGATGTATATCAAAGACAAAAAATGCCCCAAAATAAAAATTAAAAGCTGCATCAGGTAAAATTGGCCCATTTAGATGTTACCATGGAATCACAGAATCATGCAAGTTAGAAAAGATCTCCAAGACCGAGTCCATTGGGTAAGACCAAGTCCTGTTCTTGCAAGCTCACATGTGACTTCACTAATGATTGAATTTGGAGCTAAAGCAAGAATGTGTGCTGCTTTCTGAAGCAGAACAATAAGCCCTGGAAGAATGGGATGGGGATGAGGGGTGTGTCACTGTCAAAATGCCCTTTTCAAAACCCAATTTCCTTTCTTTTAGAACTCAAGACATCATATTTTATTTCCTCTTCAGGTATTTTTCCCTTCTATTTTTGTAAGCTGTTCTTCACCAGCCACAAAAGCAGTAAGAATTAAAATGTGGTTTTGCTTCCTTTATTGCTTCCACTAATTAAAAGTTATTGTTGAAACTAAAACATTTAGCCATATTTAACACCTGATGTTCTCAATGTATAATCAGAAACTATAATCTTACATTGGGGGCTATATCTTTACTGACATAGTCAGCAGGGAAGTCTACTTCACCAGCTAGTGGTATAAACCAAGGAAAATTAGGCATTCAACAACAAAAGCTGGTCTTACTGCAACAAAAACCACACACCTGGTAGTTTAAACTTTTCTGTTACTTTCTGCCAATAATCACAGATTTTCTAAGAACTTGCTATTGTTTTCATTTTGAAAAAGGTATTTTAAAAAAATCTTACTTAAAAATAGGAAGCAAAGACAGAATCAAGGATGTTGTCCTTAAAAAATGGAAAAAAACCTCATGCATTCCTTATGATCAATGACAAAATGTAAGATACAGGAAAAAAGACAGGGACTATATTTAGTACACAATGTTGACTGCCTCATGTTTGAAAGTAGCTTTCTACTTCAGTCTGTATCCATTCCTGTGGAGTGTTTCCTCTTTGTAGCTTTTAGGGTATTGTTCTTTTCATGTCACAAACATATTTTTAGAGAGATAGCTGTAGTTGGATTAGAAAATCTTGAGGAATTTTGCAGTAAATTTATCAAAGTTCTCTTTATCAGTTGAGTAAGTTAAAGTGCCTGAGATTTGCAATGGTTCCACAAAACAAATTCACTTAAAATTTATATTCTGAATAGATGAACATTCTAAGATAAAATAAGGAAGCAAATTATCTGTGAAAAATGTCTAACTAAAACCAGGTCTGTGAGAGCAGATGGTACTGTATGAAGCTATGTGTGTAAGTGATGAAAATAAAAATAGAAGCTATTTATTGAGTGAAATGTTTTAGATTAATCTAAACCCCAAACTGTGAATTATAGTACCACTTTGTGAAGTAGTTGATATTTTCCAAAATACTTCTGCTAGTGTTTATGCTAAACTGAAAACATTGTTCTGGCACTATCAGAGCTGTAATATTAAACTTTTCCATTAGAAAACTGAGTTCTGGACCACAAGAATCCTAGCTGAACCATACACAGCCCTTGCCAACTCTTGCTGTTCTTACTCATTATACTTGATCAAACTGGTGGGAATCTGAACAAAAGCTGTATACATGAAGTAAATTCTACTAAGATATTCTGGAAATGCACAAGAGTACATATGCTTTTCCCACATTTGTTTCCAAGTCGTCAGAAGTGACCAAACACAAGTGATAGTGTAAGGCTAAGCAGTGAGTAGTAAACTTGGTTTGTATAGCAGTGTTCCAATTCTGGAAAATCACTTGTAGGGAGGTATATACGTACACCTACCTGTATACACGTAAACATTAGAATATATGCTCTTTCTTCTTTTTTGTATATATACTAACATGCACACATATATCTATATGTGCTGCATGTATACATGCATGTGAAACAATGACTTCTGCCTTTCCCTTAAAACAATTAAAATCCTGGATCACAGAAGCCTTTCTGTAGTGGTTTTCATAAAAGATAAGGGTGACATCAGTCATCTTGACATGTTTTTTTCTCAGTGTACATCTGCTCTATATCCAAGGCTGTGTCTTGCTAAACATGTACTGGCAATCACTTTTACTTTTGAAAAACAAAGAATTTTTAGTACTTCATTGCAAAATGTTGTGGGCTACTTTGCATATAGAATCTCAGAATCATTGAGGTTGGAAAAGATCCTAAAGGTCATCAGTCCAACAATTAACCCAGCAGTGGCGTCACTAAACTGTGTGTAAGTGCCACATCTACTTGTTTTTTAAATTCTTTCAGGGTTGGTGACAACCAGGTCTCCAGATGTTGGAAGCCAGGGCACAGGGAATGTTTCTCTGCCTGTCCTGGGAAGTCCTGATCCCCAGGAGAACACTGCTTTTAACCTTCATCTATAGAGAAAGCTCCCAAGACTTTGAGATGAATCAGAATCTATGAGTGTGTGAAATAGATAGTAGTGTAGTTTATCACAGGGTGAAAAACTTAAGAGCTTTGGGTTTTCAGTTTGGAGGTAAATAGAAGACAGGATGGGGAATTTAATTTTGGACGTTGTCTGATCTCCCTCTTGTTCTTCATCTGCTCCATTTTCTGCAGTGTTGGTAGCACAGAGTGATTGGTTGGGAAGAACCACAATACAGATGTTGTGTGGACAAACAAATAGTTATTGGTAGAAAGGTAGAAATAAAATAAGTTCTAAGAATTAATTGGATTAAATAGCTTTAAAAGACCTTGAACCAGTGTGTCTTGTGACTTTTGGTGCCTTCTCTTTGTGTGCTAAGTCTGGCATGTATACGGTGTGCTGAACTTTTGATAAGAGAAAAATAAACAGCAATATGAAGACCAAAACCTGAGCCTTGTCCTTTTCTCATTCCTGGCACAGAACTTTTTAGGGGTCTCCCCTTTGTATCCCATTCTGTATTTACCTGAGAATGTGTATCAACTTTTGAGTATAGAAGTGCCTCAGAATTAATTTCTCTCAAGATTTACATGAAAAATTTACATTGCAAGGTGGTCATAAGGAGCAATAGTGTCTTTTCTATAGAATCAATGGACCATTTGAGCATTACAGTTCTCACGGAATAGCTGTGCTTTTTGAAAAAAACGTGAATAATTGTAACATCAAAGTGCTGTGATGGACGTAAAATCTGTCCTTACATGGAGAAGATACACAGATCATTTTATGTGCATAATGGATAGTTTTGGAGACTTTTCCTGCTAAAGAAAGTCTTGTGTCTTTTCATCTCTCTTTTTTTTCTCTCTCAGTGTATTTACAAATAATGAGGTACTAGGGTGCGTGGAAGTCATGCAGCCTGTGTGTAGTTGCTTTCCCAGAAAACATGATGACAAATCAAGGTTCAAAATAAATATGACACTTAAAGTGGAAGAAAAAAATAGGTACTTTAAAGTCTGAAACATCTTTTGTGATTAGTTACTGATAGGATTTTGTTGAATAAAAGTAGTAAAATTTTACTTCCAAAGAATACATTTGAAGGCAGATGTGGAGCCTTAAAACCAGTGAAGCATGGACATGCTTATATTTTTAAATGAAAGATGTATAAGAAGGTTTAATCTTAATCTTTTCCTTTAAAGACGAGTTCTAGAAATATTTTGTTAAGTCATAATATTTTGTTAAATTCCATCTTTTCCTTACTTTTACCTTAAATTTAGGATTCCGGCAAGGGAGTACTTAATCAATAATTTAAAATATTTTCTTTTTAAGGAAAGTAACTTATTGAAAAAAAATAAGCAAATATTTGAAGATTAAAAGATTGTTTGCACAGCATATGGAAAAAGACTCTGTTTTTCTCCCAAGTTCTGAAGTTTTCTCATTCTTATTTTCATATAAGAATGGGAAATGATCTTTTTCTTTGTCCTGTGTCTCTACTTGTCTGTCCATCCCATACTCACTATCCTCTTTCCATGCTTTCCACACCCTTTCATTCATACTTTCTGATTTTCTTTCACCCATAGCTGGTTTTTTGCAAACATCCATCCCTTCTGTTTAGCAATGCAAGGACTTTGTCTCCTGACATTTCCAGAGTGTCGCAGAAAATTTTCTCAGATAACCATGATAGTTTCTTTGCCATGTTAGTAAAAAGCAGCTTAGGTGGTAGACACTTCCTCTGAGATATTTCTGGTAGGGAAATTCAGGTAGGGATATTTCAGGTAGTGTGTTTTTGTCGCTACTTCTTTTCAGATCACAACTTTTTGGTGTTGTAGAAAAGTGCAGTGCAAGAACCTAGAGGAGTGCACTTATGTGTCCCAGAGATTATCAGTTAGACAGCTGTTTAGTATAGCACACTGTTCTGCCAGGTTCATTGCAGAACTAAAGGGTTTACTAATGACAGAAGAAATAGTTTGCTGCATTCATCTGAAGTGTTGTAATTCTGGGGTAACCAAAAAAAAAAAAGGAATGCGTTGTGCTCGTCAGAGCACAAGTGCATAAGAATCCAAAAGCTGTTGGAAAACTGAAAGATAAAAAGTGCATAAGCATGTTTTTTTTTAAATATTAATCTGATTCAGAAGAGAATTTTACTGAATCTAGCTACAGAAGACAAGTTTTCAAA